CTTGATGATATTGAGCCAAATTAAAATTAGTTGAGCGGGAGTAAGAATAATTAGGTTAGCCTGAAGCAAAATCACGATAGAGAAATCTGTGGTGTATAGAGCATCGTAGGTGATCCTGTCCTTGTCTCGCCACACTGGCAAGAAATAATTTCCTAGCAATGCACATGCCAAAACAACGGTGGAGAATGAGTGTATTCGTTCTTTTCCTGGCTGATCGAGATTTGCAGCGTCGAAAGATGTCAAAGACCAGTCCGCTCTCCCACGTTTGGCTTCAAAGTAGAAGCACTGGATTTTCCTGAATCTACCCTTTAAAGGAGAGATGATGTCAGCTCCCTCCCTGTGTCCAATGAAAGTAAAAAATGATGGTTTCTTGGACTGCGCTGGAAATCTCGAGATCTGTCACAGTATCGCAATCATCCTTTGATTCTCGACCCAAGCATTTAAAAAGAAAGAGCAGCACAGTTTATGGTAAAGAAACGTACAGGACAAAGAGAACGACAGTTGTACATACTCAGTGATTTTTGCCAGACGTATTTACAGTATTTTGCGGCATCTTTATAAGTTCACACTCACAATGGTATTTCCTTATTGTTTGTTGCTCAGACATGCTTGCGGGAAATAAAAACATGTTGTAAGCCTCATAAAAGACAGATGAGTTCCTGACGTTCCTGAACGTTGGAGCAGCTATCACAGTCTGTTTTTTTTTTACCCTGAAAGTTTCTGCTTTCTTTAGTGAAAGGATGCTTGAAATGTAAAAAGAAACAAGATGCACAACTGCTCCACTCTATCCCAGTTGCTGGGTTAGGAGTCTGCAGCAGACAAAAACCATAACCTGTGAAGGCAGAGGCAAGGGAATTGTCCTGTTCAGAAAGGAGGACAGGCATGCTTTTTCTTTAAGCCCTGTCTTGGTGCCATTCTCTCTCATAGCGGCCACTCCACATTTAATTTGGAAATATTGCATCCATATGGAGAAAAACATTTTTCAGTTGGCATCATTTCAAGTGGCTTTTACATGTTATGAAGCGCACAACTCTTTCCCTGCATTTTAGTCTTAATGCTGTATTGTAACTGCTGTTACATGAAATACTGTCTGGGGTAGTAGCAGGTTCACTCTTACAGTGATTGAATCTTGTATTTTGTGACTCCTCTGTGCTTTC